CGCACGCGATGATGTATTGTCTTCTCAATGATTTGAAAATATTAACACAGTTCTCGAACACGATCGTCATTAATCAATGATGCGTCGCTTTTTCCTCTCTTTTTGCCGGTATTACCCTAATTACGTTACATACGAGTGAGTTGCATAAAGTGAGCGCAATTCAATTAATGCGGCTGCATCATCGCACTCACTTAATTGCTAGCATTTTATCCCGTAACATATTGATGTAAATAAAATTGACGACCGCGTCTGAAATTTGTATAATAATTATCCGATGTACATACATACATTCGCGTAATATTTTTACATTTATTTTTCATTTAAAATTACAAAGCAAGATTCAGATTATGTGCATGCATTGGCTAAATCTTTTTATTACAAATTGATGATTTTGTGTTTATAAATTCGCGATATATGCATATATATATATATATATATATTATTTTCACAAATAACCTGTTTCAGAGTAATAAATCATTATATTTTAATTTGTATATTTATGAATTTTTTCTTATATATATATATATATATATATATATATATATATATATGAGAAAAAATTCATAAATATACAAATTAAAATATAATGATTTATTACTCTGAAACGGGTTATTTGTGAAAATTAGGAAAGAGAAATTTTATATTGCAAAATGCACGTGATGCGAGAAACTATATGTCTGTTCAATAATTAAAATGTCTATCTGTCTGTATTAAGAGAAATGTTATATTACCATATCGTTCTCGAATTACCGGATGCGAAAGAAATGTACGAAATGTATGACAGGAAGTATAATAATCCGTATATTTACGTGTCACGGCGAATTAGAAAGACGCGTGCACAGATCCTGTCTGTGTAACAAAGATGATTATTTTAGAAGAAGACCGCGGAAAAATATACGACGAGAAAACACATAAAATTTGATGTTTTGCGCAGATATTGCGTGCAAAATTGTATATACATATAGCAATATCGAATTTGAGCGCATCTGCTTTTTTTATTCCGCACTTCGCACAGTTTGATTTAACTGAAGCATAAGCGAAATAAATATCGTGCATCAAACAACATTTCTGCAATTATCCTACGTTTGATCATTATTGACGCATACTTTACGGTTCGATATAACTAATACGGCGCGTTCCTATTTTCCTATTCAGATATTACGCCGCACGATAAAGCTGTATGATGTGCATTGTCAAATAGCGGCAAAGTTTGTATATAATTAATCAATCACTATGATTGTGCGTATCCCACAAGGGGAGAAAGCAGAGAGTGGAATAATAATTTCTTCTTATAATTTCTAACACGTAAATCTCCCGAATAAAATATTAAACTCGCTTAGTATACGCATAATTTCGTTATAACTATATAACGTCGAAAGATTTGCTCATTATTTTTTGTCACGAATAAGTATACAACTCATTCTGTGAACTTTGAATTCACACGGAAAATTCTATCGGTTTCAATCTCTGATTCGGGTAAAGTTCGACCGTTGCACCACTAACGTGATCCGATAGAGATCATCGTACTTTCAATAAATATATGGCACGTGCACGCGAGAGAGAGAGAGAGAGAGAGAGAGAGAGAGAGAGAGAGAGAGAGACTGCGCGGGAGCTTACGGCACACTCACGACAAGAAATTGCTGCCGAGATGAACTTTGAGAGGGGACTTTGAAGTTGTTACAACCTATCAGAATGGTTGTTCGATGCTCTCCAAGTTACACTCAGGTAGTACTTTTACGATGCGAACTCGTGTCGTAGTATGTAACCGTCTAGCGAGCGACGCGACGTATTTGTACGTAGCACTTTCCCGTGATTCCCGTAAGTTTAATACAACTATCATTGGTAATATCTATTCCCTCGGTAACTTGCGACATCTTGGTCCGGTTTATTGCGATTTCGATTGCTTATCGTAATACGAACCGAGGAGGCGTACAAAGGAAGCAGAACTTTCCTTCGTTAAGAGAGTCCCGAGATAAAATTCGCCGGGAGATATTCGTTTATCTGATTGTCATGAAAAATCGTCTCTCTTATTCTCTCTTTAATTATTTAATCTATACAAATGTATAAATTTGGTAATTCAAAGTGTCATAGCTTTGTGTTTGAAGACTACTTATAAAAAACGTCAAATCGTGCATATCGTACTTAAAAAATGTTAATTTATTAGATCAACTTGTATATAATAAAATATTTTATAATTAAATAATAATGAGAAGTAATGTTTTAAAATACAACAGACATGACATGTTTCTTCATATTTCTTCATATTTATACAAGTTTTTTTTTTCAATTTAAAATGTATTTTTTCTATAAAAATGCATTCATAAAACAAAATTTTGACGTTAAAAATTGGATAATAAACGGAAGGATTTGTGCCATTTAATTTGATACAAGATATCAGTCGACAGAGGCTGTTAAAGCTTCAGAGTAACGTACAATATACTTTTGTGTCAATGTAACTATGACATAAGAATGAAATGAAACATAATAGATTGCAATTTAATAGAGCGCTATATATGTAGACGGAAACTAACGGGAATAGAAGCTTTCTTCATCACGGTTTGAAAAAGAAACTCGAGCAGCAGAAGTGAGCTTATTTAATCTCGTTATTTCTCAGTAAAGTTTCTTCTTCTTCGAAGTGCAAGCGAACCATCTTTCATACTGTGCCAAGTAAACAATCAAGACACATTTATGACCGTTATATAATCAATAAGTCAAGGAGCGTTACTTAAAATCTTTTTTCTCCCATGAAGTTAAACTAATAGAAAAGAATTCTTTATTATATTTTCATAAAATATCAAATATAGAATAATGACTATTATACAAGCTCAAGGAAGGGAAAAATGTTTGTGTATAAGTTGTAAAATTTATGTACAAGTTTATTAAAAGCATTTACATTAAACAATTAATGGAACACAAACTTAAAAAATTATAATTTATTTTGTGCGAGGTTCGAACTTGTATATTGATTACAAAAATAATTCATATTAAATGAAGATTTAATTAAGATTTTCTCTCAATTGAGGCATTGCTTGTAATGATTGTATTGGTAGGTTCTCGATCTTTCAACGTATTTGAGAGAAAAAGAAAATACTATTATTACAGACAATACCTGCAGATTAGTTTAAATATTTACAATAATAAGAATATTAAGTCGGCTTCTTAATTTTTTAAAAACACGATCTACACTTTATTCCTCTCAGCCATAGAGCCACACGCGATGTTATTGCGATAATTAAGAAAAAAAATTTGGAAACTAAGGAATTTGTATCCTATGGTTGGGATCTCAGAAATTCCCCTTGTTCCTCTCTTAACTTCCCCTGTAAAGAAATAGGCAAGAAAAATATGGTCCGAGGGTCGGCTGAATCGGGATTCGAACTCGAGACCTTCCGCTGGAGAACGCTTCCCGATTCAGCTGACTTTTGGACCAATATTTTTCGAGCCTATTTCTTCACAGGAGACGTTAAGAGAGGAACAAGGGGAATTTTTGAGACCCCACCCATAGGATACAAATTCCTTGGTTTCCAAATTTTCTTTCTCGGGAAGCGCTCTTCAGCAGAAGGCTCGGGTTCGATTCAGCCGACTTTCGGACCAATATTTTTCGAGCCTATTTCTTCACAGGGGAACTTAAGAAAGGAACAAAGGGAATTTCTGAGATCCCAACCATAGGATACAAATTCCTTAGTTTCCAAATTTCCTTTCTTAATTATCGCAATAACATCGCGTGTGGCTTTATGGCTGAGAGGAATGAAGTGTAGATCGTGTGTTTAAATATTTACTTGCATTACAAATATAATCATTTTTCAATGCTGAATACGAATACAAAAATTGTGCAAAATTTTCTTTACATTATACTTATTTTCTACCTGTATTCTAAAACAATTTATTAACATTAATAATTAATATTTGGTCAGCGCTAGTTTTTGAGTCAAAATATGGAAATACATTGTTCGCGCGCACATAAAGGCTGTAATAAATATTAATATTTTAAATATTAATCATTTAAATATTATAATATATAATTTAAATATTAATCATTTAAATTATATATATTACTCTTACTTGAGATAAAGTTACATACATCGAAATATCTAGACAATACATCAAATATGAAAAACGGCAAAAAGTTTAATTGTTTATTCTAAATTAGAAACTTTCACTCGTTATATGTTAATAGACATTTGTGACTTTACATATATGTAAATATGCGACATTTGTAATTTTACTTATGTAATTATATGAACACAGTGGTCTCTTTTAATATTAGATTTACGCTATTTTCTATTTATTAGGTATATCCGCATGTCTTTTCAACATAAAATGACAATTGTGATTTAAAGTAAATGACGCCAGCAAACTTCGTATTTTGTTCTAGTTTGCTATTATTTAATTTTCTTTATAACTATTTTAAAAAATATATGTTGCATCATAAATATTACTGTTTTATTCATATAAGAACAATGTTAACAAAAATATGATGAAATTTTTTACCTGCATTTTTCCGATAATATACATTCCGATAATATATATAGGATTAAAATCTCAGTCTTTTGTACAAATATGCGCATTATGTTCATTCAGCCTATTGTTAGAATTCATTAACATGCGCAATCTTTGATAGCTGTTTCCCTTTATGGACATCAAGTGATCAGTAAATCGCGCACCTGCTTCCCTCAAACTCTTGGAGTGCAGTAGTGTTAGGGCAATGGAGCTTGGCTGCTTTGATCTTGATTAATCAGGCGAGTAGCGAATATATCGATCTAATACATATCCTCAGCCTAATGAGCCATCATCAATGCATAAATCAGATGTCGTACTTACATCATCGCTTATTTTGTTACGTAATCGTAGCAATATTGAAATAATCGGACACATTTGGAGTTACGCGTCTTACTCCTTCATTAATAGGCTTAATTATATCTGTATCATAATTTTTGACACTGTATAACATAAATTTAATAACGCTGATTATAAAATAATATTCAATGTGAAAAATATATTTCTACATATCTCAAGATTTCTGTTCAATAATGTAAAAATTAATATCAAAATAGTTAGCCAATCGAAAGTACAGTAGACATCGCTTTTTACGTAAATAAATAAATGTATCATATTTATATGTAGAATCTCGCATCAATTTAATCGACCCCAGGGCGCTCCATAACGGTTGATACATTATTCATTTCTGTGTTCCAATTATACAACTTAATTCTATTTACGATTCATTAGTGTAATTTTCGTCGCGTATTTATTAATATCACTCAAACGAGTTTGAATAGGACATTTATCTTTCGCGTACCAGTCTGATAAGGGCGAATATATTTTCGGCTCTTTTTGCTTATGCAACACCTCGCAAAGTCTGCAAACGGCTCGTTTTGTTGCCACGTTGACTCGATAATATTTCTTCCATTCTAGGAAGCTTTGATATCGCCGCAGATCTTGAGAGAGATATTTCAAGTACGCGGCGAGTTCCTTCGGACTTTCGAAGTCCAAGGCATTCACGTAGGAATTCGGTGGTGCGAACTGACTGTAGTTGGCGCCTCCGTAAACTACTGGGACGACATTATACCTGCAAGAATATCGATAAGGGAATCTCATTATTGGTTGATAATATTTTCTTGCAATTTTAGTCATTGCATCTGCAAAGTCACGCATAGAGAAAACGAAAAGTACGACGAACAAACGGACGAATGAGACAAAATCAAAGTGGATAATACATAGTAATCAGTTTTCTGTATTCAATAATGTTTAGAATAATAATTAGAAAAATGAAAATTATAAGTTTCAATATACGATCTGATAATATCTTTCTATTGTATACATATAATAATTTTCTATTCATATCTTCTAAATGCGTTTTTTGTTAAAAATTGTTACAGTTATATGTATATGAAATTAGATTGTTACAATTCTCTAAAGAATTATATAAATTATTAAATTTGTAAATACAGATAACAAATGAAAAATAAAAGATTAATTGTAGATATATGTAAAAGAAATATTATTATTATTATTATTATTGATTTATTGCTTGTAATTTTTCAACTTCCATTGCACATGCAATAAGTATCCATTCTTGTTTTAAATTACAATGACAGATCATACGTGGCTATTAAAAGATATCTGTTATCAGATATTGGTTATGTGTGCTCGTAAAATTGAATCATTTGTAATATTGAATAATATGGACATATTTAATGATCGAACGAAACAATGTCCCGCATTGACTATCCAATATTCTCTTGAGTACGTCGTGTAAATAAAAATGAAAAAGAAATACGATATGTGTAGCGTTATCATTTTATTTCGCACAATCTGACAAATTTGATTCAATATTGATGCTTTGTCGTATCGATTCTATATAATCGCGCCGATAATATTTCAATTCCAAACAATCGCGGAATTTTGATGTCAACTTTATGTTTGTTGCATTTACATTAATACTTAACGCGACGGCTGATAATTTCTACGCATAATTTCAATAGGCCGTATAAACTTTATTGCAAATGAATAATGCAATATTTAGAAAATAAACCCTCATAATACACTTTCTCATTTATTGATACATCTATTGTAATTATTTCTTTTCCGAGCAATGCTTGCTCTGTAAAGGACAATGAAAAATAACAATCTAAAAAAAATACAGTTTTATTTGCGTGAATAAATTCTCTAAATTAAAATTCTTTTGTTTTGATTTAAACATCACAAGATTTATGCTTAAATAATTGATAGAATTGACTAGAGGCTAAAAAATAAAATATTTGTGTCTCTCAATCTTGCATTCCGATTTGCATTACGATGACTCGCAGATCATCAGGGAAAACGCCCACTCCGTAGATATCAGTTAAATTATCTTTGTTTTCGCGCTTTGGTTGGAGATAACGATCCCTCGAGGTTTAAAAGCTGTTTCATTACCTGAGCGGGTTCATCAGCTTCTCCGTCACGTAATCGTCGCAGAAGGAATTCTCGAAAGACAGGTAGAAAAAGTAGTTGGGCTCGATTACGTCGCCAAAACAGTTCCGGCCACTGTTGCAGTTGAATGTACCGCATCTGCCGTAAATGTCGACGCCTATGTGCTTCGACAGCTCCTGCACGTACTCCATCCGGCCACTTTTGGCGTAGCAATTGCTTACAAACCAAGTTACCAGCTTGCTCTTACCCTTGACGATGTCCAATATCGTGGACGATATCTCGTCCGTCGATTTCTCTACACCTGCGAAAATCCGATTAGTTCTTATGTACTCGACGTATATGTAACTTGGTGAGATGACAGGATTTGTTATTCGTAAATTTCGGTTGAAAATTTGGCAAACACTTGCATCTAATAAAAGATACGTATAAATAATGAAAAGTGTAAAGATAAGGGAATCATATTTTCCAGATTATATTCATTTTGTTTTACTTTACGTACGATGTTTATATATTGTGAATAAAAATATTTATAAATAATATGTAATCTTAGAAATCTTCTAAGAAAAATCTTGTTTATTTATTGCAAGGTAGAAATGAAAAAATATATAGAACAAAGTACAATATATGAGAATATATTACTTGTATAATTTATAGACGCCTTCCAGTCAACATCTTTTGAAGGTGCGACGAACTTGCCAGTTTTTATATCCTCTATGATGTTATAAGTCCACGGTATGTCACTGTCGAGACGATATGTCATCGTGAGATTAAAGTAATCCTCGTAGAACTTATAAGGTATCGCTCTATTGGCTGGACTTTCCAAATTAACGTACACGTAAAATTGTTTCATCTCTCTTTTCAATGGCAAGTCGTATTCAGTCAGTTCGTTTCCATGAAAAAAAATGGCGTCGTACTCTTCGATATTTAAGTAATCTCGCTCCATAACGATTTTGCATTTATTGATAGGACAATTATGAAAAATATCACCTTCTCCAAAATAAAAATCTCTTCTACCGAACATCGTATTCCACAGAAGAATGGTTTTTATGCTTTTATTTCTATATTCCTCTGCCTTGATTAATTTGTCTGTAGAATTCTCTTCGTGAACTATTGACATTTTGAGAAATATGTCCTGAATTTTGAAGTCGCCATAAGAGGCTAAGAGGTAGATGCAGATTATCATGATCGATGCAACGATCAGATTGACGAAGAAATACGATTTTTGTTCATTGTTTTAGCGACGCTTCGCCAAAAATTCATTATTCGCATTTTGTGGTCCGTTAATTGTCAAAATCGTCGTATTTGACTATGCTGCCTTTGCATATTATTGTTTCGATATATCTAAAACATATTATTGCATCTATAAATTCATCTGAATAAATCTTTGAGTCAGACTTCGCATAGATGTATTAAATACAACATAATTTAATTATTAGCCAAAGAACCAGCGCAGTAATTGAAGCGCAACTTATTAGATTTATTTAATATCAATTACATTTACACATATCACGAACGTTTCTGTCCTTTTTTGGACTCTCTTCGGCGCGTACAAAATCGAAAAAATACATCCTAATCAAATACAAAGAGATCTAATACATTTGTCAAAACTGTTGAAAATTTCTACGAAATCTTATTAATATCCTAACTTGATTGAGTCCATGTCTCAATTTATGAAATGCTTTTTATAAAACGACAAAATAATGGACTCAATTTACAAATAAGATCTCGAAAAAAATTGTTTTTATAATAAGACAAGTTTTGATTTAAAGAAATATCACAGATAGTTTTTGTTCTTCATAAAACTGATGACAAGTTGCAGAAAGAAAACTTTTTCGTTTAACAACTTAGATTTAGTATCACTTCGAAAAGACGTGTAATAAAGTATTACTCACGTTGTGTCACAACAAAGCACATTGCATGAAGATGATTTCATCTTTTTCGCTGTTTGATCTCACATAGAATTGCAACATTCTATCACAAATAATCTGTACGAATTATTTGATCATTCAAAATACTCTGAGAAACATTTATTTGACTTTTTAAATTGCTGGCAAGGCAATTAATTGCAAGCAATTATATTTAATGCTGTTCCCTTGCATTTGCATTAATTAGTAATCAAAATACATGGATTGTGTGCGACCCGTATATCTATTTGTATCTAGGCATCGTTTTTAATAGAATAAGCTCCTTTCATTAAAATTTATCGCATTCTTCAATAAAGCGCTTCTCCGAGCTCCCACTTTTAATAGATTGTTTCATATATCCTCGATGAAAAGAGTAGTTCATATTCAGCTTCAATTGATAATTCTGCTCCAACTGATATAATTCATCGAATTTTTAGAGAATTTTCCTTCAACTTTGCATATCTATATGAAAAAGAATCAAAATATACATTGATTTTATAATACATTAAATTTTGTTATAATTGAATAAATTATCTTTCGTTATTTTCGTAGTTTTATTAACAACACAATATAAAATGAAAAAGTTTGTTATGTGAAAGCTTTCTTATATTAGAAGGTTTATAAAAATTATATTGTATAATTAAACTTATAATTAAATAACAATATAATAAGAAAAGAAGAATATTTCGTAAAGCGCCAGTAAAAATAATCACAAGGATAAAACTCTTTGAAAAAATTTTGTAGACGACCAAACTGGGCAAAAAAATGTTAATTTATTAGATCTTCCTCATTACGTTTCGACCTTTGGTTCAGGTCCTTATCAAACGAACACTGTAATAATAATTTCACAATTTAAATTACAATAATAAAAACGAATTAATACAAAATCCACAAAATATTGTAACTTAATAAACATAAAAGCGAAAAAATAATACTAGACACAAAAATAAATTAAAATAAATTAAAATAAATTAAAAAATAAAAATAAATTACAATAAAAATAAAAATACTATTAATGTACAAATTAAATAAATTAAAATAAGTTAAAAAATAAAATACAAAAAAAATAAACATAAAATTAATTTACAATACTTATTAAATTATAGAAACAATTAACTCAAAGACCACAGACAGACACACAGAAGAATGTGTAAAAAATATATATATGCGAAAACTTACAACGTTAAATGTTAAAATGCAAGATTTTTTTATGTCAATATAATAAAATATGTATGATAGTCATCACTATAAAAAAAAATGTAAATAACAATATATAAATTAAAAGTAAAAATAAAACAATGTAATTACAAAGGCTTTCCTAAATAGAATCAAATTGAGGTAAGGTAAAAGTGATAATAAAAGCTAAGTAGAGCGCGCATAAATATTTTAAAATAATTACAAACAAAATGTACATGTTATACATCAATTTAAACGTCTGTATACATCAATATTAATAAGCATATGTTTTAATTTCTTTTTTGGGTCAAATAAAACCGCAAACGCAACGGATAAAAATAATAAATAAAAATAGTTGTTAATATAAAATTCAAATTGAGGTCTCTCACGTCATCCGAGCAGTGACGAATTCAAAGTGTAATTTCCAATGCATTGTAACCTTCTCTGAAAGGTCTCTCCTGCTCGGTTGATAGACTAGGAATAATAGAAAAATTAACTGAAACTTCATTACATGTATTTTTATATAGTTTTTTATATCGTCAGATTGACGAGAGAGAAAAACCGGATATTATAATTAAGAGATGCAACTTAAAATAGATGCTATGAATATCGCATAAAAAACAACACTTGATGAATGATTATATTAAATGTAAAAATACAAAGATAAAAAACATTATATATGTACAAGCAAATTTATCTCGATGACATGAGTGACAATAACGTAACATTTAAATGTAACAAAGTAAAACGCAAAAAGGCAGGCAGTACAAAAATATATATAGTCAAATATGTCACAATATTTAAAGTTTTGACAGCTTGTCAATTCATCATTACAGTTCTATAAATATCAGACAATAATAAAGATACTGTATCGGTTTGCAGATTTAAACTGTTTTTTTAAATGTATAATATTTTAAAATTATTTAGATGAGATTTATTCTCCAAAATTTCCGTTTTATTCCAATTAAAATCATAATTAAATTCTACTCTGTGATCTGTCAAAATTGAATAATTCGTATAATATTTCTTCTAAAATGATTCCGGTGTTCGACTATTTTAGTACGTAATTATCTTTCTGTTTGACTATGTAAGAAGGATCGATAGTTTTTATATCGATGATTCATACTTTATATTTGCAATTAAAATATACGCACCATACTTACTGCGTTTAGCTCTTAATGCCATTTTTTTATCTCGATTAAAAATATAAAAATATTAAAAATAAACATAACAAATATTAAATACGTGAGAGAGAGAGAGAGAGGCAGAGAAAGAGAGAAAGAGAGAGAGCAAGAAAATAATAGAATAAAATTGTAAATATTGAAGGTTATTTAAGCTTTATGGAAATATCAGATGCAAGCAGCGCTGGAAGATGGACGATTAATTTGCAACGACTTGGGATGAAAGCGCTCGATGAAACAGGAGAAATTGTGATGGATGAATAATCGATTTCTTTCTAAAGATCGTAAACGTTTGATGTTCTTTCGAAATAGATATTCTATACTTTGTCTGTAGGCAAATAATGTCTGTACGAGAGAAAAGAAGAAGGGAGGAAACGTAAATATGAGGTTTCGTTTGATTAAAAAATTGCTCTCTTATGATATTCAGCATGAATAGTCTTTATCTACTTATAGCATAGAGCATGCTTTAATATAGCTAAAGAATGCTTAAAGAATGTTACTTAGCTTAATTATGAGCAATGAAAAGCGAAAGACGTACGAACAAATTGTTGTCTTTGTAATATGAGAAATTGAGAGATGTAGAATATTATATATAATATAAAAAATGTTGAAAAATACGAATATATAGAATATATATAGATATATATTCTATTAAATATTAGAGATCTTAATCAGGATCAGTTTGTGCCAATGCTTAATAGAGAGAAATGTTTGCATTATATGAAAGTTTTGTAATTATTTATACGGACATGATTATATGCAGTATTTAATATGCAATTGGTTAGTTAATATTGTAAACAAATATACAACTGAACCATTTAATCCTAATTGACAATAATGAGGATTGCATCAAACCGGAGGTGGTTAAGTAGGATGAATGTAGAAAATTAAATAGTTAACGATTAAATTTATGCTATAATTTAGCAGAATTATGAGCAAACAGAAAACTTCATATTAGTTTACTATGGTTACAAAACTAATAAACTAAACATTGTAAGCGTTATAAATATAACACAATATATAATTATTTTTATAAATAAATTTGCGCGCACTTTTAGTTATTAATTCTGCATTAGCTATATTAATTTATTACGTGACAGTTAATAAAAATATTGTTAATTAAATAAATGAAAATTGAAGACAACGAAAGAAATTAGACTAATTGTGTATATATATTCTTCTATCTAATAAATAAGATTGATTAAATAAAACTTGTGTATATATATTCTTCTATCAACGTTCTAATATTGACCTTCACTAATCATGATTGATCGATTGAATTGTTAATTTTGCATATCATACTCAACACTGACATAATAGATCCATGATTTAAGGTCACAAAACGTGACCAATCGATCGATTATTATCACAATTATCACGATCGATGTAAATACAAAATATCATACGATAATAGCGATTGAATAATAAGATTGATTATTTGTGTATATCTGATTGATTAAACCGTCGTTCCAATATTGACCTTCACATGATTCGTAATCGATTGAATTGTTACATGATTAAACGTCGCCAACTTTTCGTAGACATTACGTCACTGACATAATATAGATCCATGCCGGCGATTTAAGGTCACGGTCTTCGTAATGCGTGAATTTATGAGAAACTAGGCGTTAACGTTGACAAATTATCGTTTGTACACAAGTTTAGTACAGCTAATTAACTAACAATTAATATTATCGTAAGAGTTTTTCGTGCATAAAAAATATTGATTCACGAAGTGATATGATAAACCATATGGCTACTAAAACGAGATGCCGAAGGTCGATTGCATAATTGCATCCTATTTTGATTCTCGCGTATATAAACGCTTCTGCGACAATAAATTCATGCGATTTTAGTTCGACATGTAATAAGCATGTAAATTCTTGGCTGAACAATTTGTACCTTGTATGTTTCGCTCGGTGATTAATTCCGTTCAATATCACGCCAGTCGCGATATTGAACACATATGAACTGTTTTTCGTCGCTCCGTGTCCCTATCCACGTTTTATTATTTCGCGAAACGCACTTTTGTATCCTATTGCGCGCATTCTCACGAAATTACGTGTCTCGATCGATTGCATCACTTGGCCACCGAATGACATTGCCGAATAAGTTTTGCGAGACGTAGAACGCAATGCTGTTTTCGCGAGACGTAGAACGCAGGCATTTCCTTACGCATGCGCGTTAAATGTGATCTCAGTGAAGTCTCATCTCACATTTGTATCATAAAGGGTGCTCCTAGACCCTCTACTTTTAGAGACAATTTAAAACTGAGAAAACCAATAATATGCATTGAAATGTATATTAAATAACTGCAAATTTTTCTTTCTATATACATTTGCAATATGTGTCGCCTTCTGCATTAAATATATCAATAGCATTAAAATTATTATGATTTTTGTGCTTAAATTTGAGATGCATGCGTTTCTGATTTTACTGCACACGCACGAAATCTAGTAACACTGCGAGCTAGTAACACTGGTATAAAGTCGCGATAACCGTCACCGCACCTACTTGCTACCTTGAAAGCTACAACTTGACTGGCTAAATAGAACGTTAGACTCTCTATATATCTTCTAGTCCAACCTAGGCTGGCGTTATATATAGTGGCGGTAAAGTAAAAGGCTTCGCGGAATCAAACGTTCCGCCAAATGAAAATTATGCGTGAAGAAATGCACGAGTCTGTAATTAAAGTGCAGTACCACGTACTCGAGAGAAAGAGGGAATATTCGTACCGTTTATTTTACGAGATTGCGCCTATTACGCCGATAGACAGCAGCAATTATCGTATAAATCATTTTCTTTTACACACATGCAATTTATAATTATAAGGTATATTTTTTAATGTATAACATTTCAAAACGTGATATGTCATCCTTTATTGGAAAAGTACCAAATACTGAGCAAAATAATTTGTATAATTTATATAATAGTTATGATAGTTTTGAAATAATAATACAGTTAAAATAATATGTAAAATTTTTTTAATATAAAGTTGTATATACTATCAAAAAGCATTGAGATTTACGTATATATTGAAAATATAATATATTGCACTTAAAAGAATTATTGTTTAGATAAGATGACATTTATATTGAATATTTTATAGCATGGCGGTATATATACAGCGTCCTGACATTGTAATTGATATATATTGAGTTTGCTTCTTACAAAGTATACATTGTTTTATAATGGTTTATCGACAAGAAATATTTTAAAGAATTTTTATCGTTCTCGACATAAATGTAAGTGTTATCACTACTTATTTAAAAATCAAATATCAATATTCAGGCTAACACATTAATTATTTCACAGCTCATTACATATCATTATCACATTATGGATTACAAAAGTAGACGTTTATTTAAAAAGAACTACAGAAATCTGATGTTCGTGGTTAGGCGCTTTAACGACTAATTCGAACGATTAGCCGTAATTCACGCCAACAATTATAATGTGTTATACTGCGTTTTTTTTCATATTATAAGTCTATATATTTTACATGTATAACATAAGTTCTGTCTTTCCAAATTATTTGTTTTATGGATATGTCAGCAAAGCGATATTTGTATTGATAAAGACTGTCGTACAGTCGAAACGTTTACTAATTATCATTTGCATTATTTTCATGACTTAGAATAAATTGTTAACACCTAATTAATCAGCTCGTTAAGTTGGCCTAATAATTTATAACTTATTTTAATTTTACACGAGCCGAATTTTAATTCTCATTATATATATTGAATATTTTATGCCTATCACGCGAAAAATGGTCAAAGTGGTGCGACTAATTTTTTTCACTAAAAAATAATGCATGATTAATTAATTGCATGTTTCGGCAAAGAAGTGATAAATACAAAAACTAGATGTCATTTATCTTGGAATTATATTCTTTTTTCAAAGATTCTTAATCCTTGAAACCACATTCCACGTACTGACATACATATGCAATACATAATGATGCAATCACGATGTCACATATGATTATCATTGTACTACAAGAATTAACATATATGTTAAGTAGTGTCTAAATTTTTATTAGTTTAAGAAAAACTATATAAAGGTAAAATATTTTATACACATGCATATATACATATATGCATTAAACATATTATTTATACACAATAGATTTTTATTTTTGTCGATACTATATCCTCCAAAAAAAAAAAGGATATTGATTTTAAATATTAAAAATATTCATATCAGATAATAGATTTTAAATAAATAACAATTTATTTATCTATGCATGTGCACACGCGCATTAATATACATGCGAAACATATGATATTGCTGCGGATTTGACGCGCAGATGATGTGCCTATGTATTTACATGCAACGATGATATAATATGCAGCATGTCTGCGTACGCGCGATGAAAAATAATCTGCTTTGGCCTTATTATAGAATAAATATGGATATGTCTGCAAATTAAACTAACAGATTATTAATTATTGAATCTTTATTGAATAATGGAATTATAATCACTTTTCATGTATATTACTATATAGTACATGCTGTGATAATAATTTTATTTGTCATTCAATTTCCATGCTAGTGAATACTATGAGTTTTCTATTATTAAGCATACACGTAAATTTTTATATGTAAATATGCCAATTTAGAAAATGATACTATAGATTGAATACATACATATATGTATATGTATATAGTTCTTGAATTTCTTCGACTTGAAAGGAGAACGATAATGATGTATAAAATAATCTTTAATATTGAGTATGTAGATTTTATTGTAAAATTTTATGTCTTATTGATGCATCATTATTGAAATTAAAATTTGCATGTTCTAAAAATTATAATGATTATGAGATTTTCTTCGAGAAAAGTGCTTTGAGAATAACTTTGTGTAGTATAAGTTTGCTGTTTATATCATTCAATCGTAAACTACAAAACTTTTATAACTTCAGCCCGAACAACCGTTTCCGTATAACGTGCCGGATAAAGCAAAGAGGAGTATTAAAAAAGCATTTTTTCTTTCGACGTTGCAATTTCTAAAGAATATTCTTAATAATTGAAAGATCGAAAAATACATAGCACAATTAATTGTTAAAGTAAAAATAATATTTTTAACATTTAAAGACATATTATACGCATTAGTTAAAATTATTATGCGTATAGCTGAACACGTTAAATAAGTGATTAATGTTTTCTTCTTGTTATAGACGTAACAATAAACTAATTTAAAAGAGTTGTTTTCTAAGCTATTAATAATGTATGTTTTGTTGAAATATGAAACTAATATAATTTTTATTACTCATATAATTAACCATAGTGTTCCTATCGATCGAAAAATACTCATGCATATTTACGAGTTACGAGACTACTGTTGCAATTTATTTACCTCAGAAGACATTTAACAGTCCCTATTCACTATTTAACATATTACAAATGGAACGTCGACGCTTTAATCGACGTATGCGAGTGTTTGCGCGACGTTAGTTTTTTAATTGGTAAGTTTAATTAGTTTCGCTTGAACTACTCGGGCACAATATATGCGCATTTGGAATATTATCCTGGCTTTTCGGCACCAGAAAGGTCGGAGTAATTTGTCTTTCTCGGGCTAAATAATAATTTGAATTCGGAACTCGACCTTACCGTAATCTCCCATCCGGAAGTCCTCTTGGGAATTCCCCTAGCCACCGTACCATAAAGCTAGTTGTTGACGTATCCTGCTACCGGAGACGCGTGAAGCTTCCGAAAATTCTATCCTCATTGAGATAGTTCGTGTTACATTTCCCAGAACACTTTATACTCTTATTAATTTCTTTCATTACACTCGAGAATGTTATTTAAGGGAAAACTATGGCCATAAATATAACTTTCTGCAAGTTGATTTCTACGAATCTTTTCATGGATTTTTAGCCTTTACTTTGTTTTATAAATTGAGAAATAGAAAAATTGACACACAAAAATGACGTATAAAAATGAAATGTATAAGAAATATAAAACGAATAAGAAAAGACGTAAGTTTAACAACATAAACTGTCAATTAAAAATTATAATACAGCTTTTTTATAGAATTTTTTTGATTGTTTGATAATTAGCCTTCTTTTATATTATAATATAATGTAATAAAATATTTAATAACCTATTTATTAATTATATTTATAATACTATTATTTTAATACATTTATATTATTAATATCGGTATATATTGGATACACAGATGCTTTTGAATGGCATTCCTAAAATTCTATAATATATCTATTATAATACTGAGAATTTTTAGATTAATATTTCTGAATTAAAGATATTAAACTATTATTATATTTTTCAGGATAATTTTCATTTAATCGATATGATATATTAATAATTTGATAAAATAGATTCGCGCGAATGAACACAATATAATATTTCATATGCAGAAAGGATATTTTTTAGATTGGAGATATCGAGTTACGGTATACATATCTATTGTGCAAGTCGTTTCTCAGGAAATACGATATCGAGATTTAGTGTCAGGAGAGACGAGGTTTTCGTTGAAATGTCGTACGTGTCGCGTTCGTATGTCGAGTGTGCATTGACTTCCGGTCAGGGCAAAGTCTCTCGGACTTCTCTTCCGGTCGAGCGACCAGCCAACTGCCCTTCTACTTCACTCTCGAGTGCATCACTTCCGAAACTTTTTTCGGAAGAGTCGAGCGACACGGACACCGGCGTTCCTTATTTTTCCTCTTTCAGCATCTTCGATTTTCTCCGTGTCGATATCAGGCAACATATGTTTCGTTAGAATGTTGTAAACGATCGTTTTCCCATGCGATATCAATAGTTTTTCGAATATTATTTTCAACATTATATATTTATAGGAAAGTACTATTTAATTATATATTAATTATAACATTGCTCAAAATAGCTCGTTGAGAGAAAGGGAGAAGGAAAAAAGAAAAATGATTAATAAATATTATACTCGAAAAAATGTTTTTTTAATATATCTATATTATTGTATGTATATGTATTAATGCATCAAAATCAAACTACACACATACTGTAAATATCATTTGCGTATTCTATGATTTTATGCTTTTATGATAAATCTTGCTCGTTTTTTTTTCACGAGTTCAATGAAATGTCATTTGACGAATATCAAAGTGTCGTGATATTGACGTTTATTAAAATAAAAATCAGGAGCGTGACGTTTGTCAAAACTGGCTGGTGAATTTTTTTCAGTCATTCGCCACGAACGATTTGTGGCGCTATTTAAATTTTGGCGCATATACATATATATATATATATATATATATATATATAGATATGTCCCGATGACTACGTTGTTTAAATACAAATACCTTGCGGTTTTTACGATCGCATGTAAAGTGTGAAAGAATATGAAGGATTATCCGGTAGCGTCGGTTGAATATTCCAACGCAGGCGGCACAACGCGGGAATAATAATGATAAAAATATTTTACATTTAATATATTCTGTACAGGCACACTTTCAGTCTCACGACTGTAACGATATATGCGTTTTGGTTCGGCTTTAAACGAAGGGAACGTAGGAAGGGTGAAAAGGGCGAAGAGAAGGGAGTATCGCTGCTGTATAAATTTAAACTCAAATTCCGTGATGCTCCTGTCTGCATGATAATTGGTCGTATTTCGAGTGTATATGTGCATACGTATATTCGTAAAAACTCGAGCGCAAACGAGCGGATTAAGCGTTTCGAAATATTTGAATATCGCGGAAGATTCGGTATAATATTTGCGAGCGGAATTAGTAGCGTGATATATGAAATAAATGTATTATTTGTAGGATAACGATGCTCAAATTGCCTCGAACTTTTAACGAAACATATATACACGCGGTGTGTGTACGCATTTTCATAATATAAATACGTCACATTTTCCCTTCATAACATTCCATTCAGATATCATTTGTATAATTTTAAAACGCGATCTATTAATGAGATTACATTCCTTGCGGTACAAGAATCCGCAAAATCAATTCATTCGGTCGCAGATAATTAATTCATCCATTCGATGCTGATGTAAGCATCACTCTCTCTCTCTCTCTGTGAATATATTAAATCAAATAATCAAATACAAGATAGTAAAAATTGCGAGTTGACGTCATTAAAATAATTTAACTCGGGGGTGTAGTCGTTTGCATACAAATAATGCAATAACACAACATGCATTAAAACGTGACGACGTAGTAGTGGTTCAAAAAATGTCGTGATTTCATTTTGTTCGCGAGAATCCGAGTATGCAAAAGCTAGAAAAAAAATCGGACTTTTGCTCGTATCGGCGTGACGTCACGCGGACGCGACGCTCGGTGAAATAAATCGAGTGAATAAATCGATTCTCGCTAATTTATCTTGGAATCTCGTTTATCGGTGCAATTTGGCAGGACGGCCCGCCCGTTCGAGAATGAAAAATTCACGAGTCGGCTGCGAGCGCGTTGAATTTCCTCTTCAGCCCTCAGGAATCGATTAGACATAATTATCGTTTTATTGACGCCGTCGGCGATATTTTTGTATTCTTTAAAGAACGACGTACTAATGACGTTACTGTTTTGCGACAACTTAATGGCCGTTAATTATTTCACGTCATTTCGCGGGTTCGCGTTACAAAATGCAAGATATGCGAATGCACCGGATTTGTTTTCGGTTAATAATAGGACGGCTCTCTCTGCCCAAAATAAACAATTTATCCCGGCAATAGAAATAATTCGGAATTTAATTAGTGCAAGAGGTGTTTTCACAAATATCAATCAAAGTTAATTGCAATTTGACTCTGAGTGCAGTCTGTAAACTGTGGACCAAAAACAGCTATTTGTGTGATTAAAGATTAATTGTTGTTATGTTACACGTATAACTGACAGTATCCCTTTTTTTCTATGTTTCAGCGCTCTCCGATCCGCCAATATTTGCCGAGCCGATACCAAATGTCACAGTGGCGCTGGGAAGGGATGTCAGTCTACCCTGCGTCATCGAAAATCTCGGAACTTACAAGGTAACGCATACTATTGAATCTTTAAATGTCGAGTAAAAGGGACTCGCTCTCTCGCAGCAACGCGCGATCTAAACTGACCGCCTCCCTTTTTAGTTTTGCGCAAACAACCGGTTCTTCTTATCCCTGTAATTTTCTTCTTCGCTCTTGGAGCGTGTTTTCTTAACGGTCGGAACTTGCCATGTCCTTTATTAAACAGAGTTTCCTCAATTATTCGTTAACCGGATTATAAAGGGGGTATTACAGTATGCGCTGGTGTCGTAGAGATGAAATTCCTCTTTCTCTCGTGTTTGTAAAGGTAATTTTCTTTATAAAATGCTAATTTTATTTACAAAATATTGTACGTTATTTTTTCGTCTTGTTTTTATATTATATTTATTTTATTAATCTCAAATTTAAATTTCTTGTTACCTACTATAGTGACAATGAGGTATTTATTGCTCAATATAATGACAATGTTAAATTGTTATATAATCGAAGCATGAAGTAAAGTTGTGGACTAATAAACTGAACGTGCATCAAATATGCTCTTATATAACAAGCTTTTAAGAGGTTGTTGTAGTTGATTGAAATAATAATGCAATGTATATTTGCGAAAAAAATATATTCTTATTCAAAAATTATTATAAAGGAGGCCACTAAACGAGCAAAAAATTTTGGATATCAAGTAATTTTTTTTTTATTAAAAAAATAATAAAAAATAAAGAAACGTTATTTTTTAAACTTTGTGTTAGAAGAAAACTGAGTACAGTCAAAACGCCTACCTTCCAATTATTATATAATAAAATAAAAATTATTTAACATCCAAAATTGTTAGCCCGTTTAGTTGGACCATCTCTTATTAATAATTTTTTGAATTTACACGAAAGTCTAATTATGAATGATTAAATTCTTATTAAACACTTATTACATACAATACTTTAATTCACACGATACTAGGTAATCCACGATAAATCTGGGTAGAACATATAAAAAGAGATATAAATATTCCTTTTCACCTTGAGTCTACCTTACTTATATTTAAAATCGAAAAAAGATAGACGAGGAATTTTCCCTATAAGAAAAAAATACGTAATCGCTATCCGGTATACTTTGCGATGTGCGGTCTTGTCTCGCTGGCATTGAGGACCGCTGTTAGGCAACCGTATTGGAAACGCATCAGTTGTCCCGTCAGGGAGCTGGATGCGACCGCCGCATCCTGCAGGCGATCAACGTTACACACGAACAAATATATCGGCAGGCGTATAACGAGCGATGTAGTTTCCCCGAGTGAAACAGGTATATAGAAGCCGAAGGGTACATGAAAAATCGAGGACATCCTTAAACTTCATTAAAAGTTGTCGATCGTAACGTCATTTCCATTTTGTTCACATATCAAAGCCTGGTAGGTGTCAGAGATCCGCGAGTCGTTATATAAATTGCTGACGTTTTTACGAGAATTCAATTTTATCAGACAACAATTTTATACCGTTGTGTTAGTAAAGCAAGAAATGCATACTTTGAAGCGACAGTTATCAATATAGGTAAATCAAAAAATCTTACACACATTAATGAAATAAAACAAAATTATTGGGAAAATTATTGTATTACTATAATCGACATAAAATTATTCCTGCAACTGTATTATTTCCTTTCGGATAAATATTAAAAAAGTTAGACGTATGTTAAATATATATAATTAATTAATTTCGCAGGAAGCAACGCATCTCGAATGCATTTCATCTCGCTCCGCTTCTCTCGTATAGTACATAATTATTCGAAAGCTGTATTTATAGCCGGATAGGCATTCATAGTCGTTCCGTTAGTTGGAAAATTGCATCAAGCACGCGATTAGAAATCTTGCATGGACAGCCTTGAGCGGCAAACGGGACCGATCATGAATCGATCACGAGAACTCTGGTAGCATATTATTATCAAGTTTACCAGTTTCTCTGCATATACAGGCTGTTCCAAATCTTCTAAATTATTTTCACTTAGAATACTTGAATCTCGAATTTCAATTGATAAAAATATTAACATCCTGACAGCTTCTGAAATATAGTTCAGAAATATAATTAAATAAGATAATTATTTAAAATATAAAAAAATTTTTTTTTTAAATGCAGAAATAAATAAAATATTATCTATGTACGTCGTTGAACTTGAAATACAAACTTGAGTAAAATTTAACACGATCGCGTCGAGATATTGAAACATTGAATTTTGGAATGTCGCGAAATACGATTTTCCTTGACGTATCTATTCCCCGTCGATTGTGAAGACATGCCATGTCATAAATATCGTCGGTTTAATCCGGCACGCACATATGAGGGGGCAATCACGCGGACCAGTTTTGCGCTGGACAGAAGACGGTTATTAGGCGAGAGCAACCGCTCCGGAACCGCCGCATGACTCGGCGAAGTTTCCAGACGATAACGCAAAGGTGGAAAATCACTGATATATCAAGCGCAGGAACCGGGAAATTGAGATTGCATCAACTTCGGAACTCTCCTACGGCTATTAAGAATGCCATTAAAGTGATAGGCGAAAGGCGACGTTCGTGTGTAAAGCAAACGTTTTCCGATCGCAGGCTCGTCGTTTAAGCGTCGCGGCGCGGCGCCGATAAACGCTTCCGAGCGAAGCGACTCGCCTCGCGAGATATTGAATAAAACGGTAATTTTTTTTCCCATCGAGTTTCCGAGTTCGCGCGTTTCAACACCGACGCCGTCGCGCATCGGTATATATCGCTTTGTCGAAAATTTATCGAGACATCACTCGCATCGAGAGACACATCTCGGTTCGGGAATAAATTCTCCGCTTCTCCGAGCACTCGCGAAAGCAGCCTGAGAATTTTCCGTCTCTTTAATGATCGCGAAAATAGACCATTGTGCGCGGCACCGAGGTATTTCTTCCTCTTCGAGCTGCACGTGAAATAGTTTCCATTTCGGCTCGACCGGAAATGTACCGCAACAGTTCGGTTTCACGAGAGAGAAAGAGAGAAGCGAACGAACTTGATCGTCGCCGAATCGTTCATTGTTATTTCTTGTAAAGATATTTAGTCTATGCTGGTGGCTCGGGATCATTTCAGCCAATAGTTCTCTAACCGTCGAATCTGGCGCAATATCATTTGTCACGACTCAATGATAATACAAAAATATATTGCGTAAATTTTCATCACACCTTTGTAATCTCCAATTTTTTATACAATCTTTATATACATACATCTATTAAAATTCAAATTTTTATCTTGACATATACGCTTTCTATTTTATTACATTATGTATTATAACTGGTACTATTATACATTTTAAGTGTTGTTGAGAATTTTTCAGAATTATAGTGTTAAAAGAAATAGCTTGGAAAATATTTATTCTTTCGCAAATATATCTAATCTCGACATATTTCCTTTTTGTGTATGAATATATAAGCGGCACAGAGAAATAATTTAATTTTCTAGGCTATAAATTGCTTTAGAAAGCGTACACAGCGTTATATAGGCGACAGTAGAACGCGCAATCGTTTTTTCTTCGAATTCAAAACACGTAGCCCCGATTGCGAAGAGTCTCGTTAGAGTCGACATTTCGAGAACGCATAGCCGCCGCGCATTGCACAGTTCTCGGCCGAGGCCCTTTGATCAAAACGCCAGAAAATTTCATCTACTGGGTGCCAAAGTTTCTCTCTCTCTCTCTCTTTCCTGTCCTCTCGGCACGCCTCGCTCGAACGCGAAGAAACCGTACGACTTCGCAAATTTTCCCGGATTTAATTATGCCAGGAAGACCTTTCTGTGAGCCGGGGGAATTGCCTCTTTGACCCTTTTGCAAGATGAATTGCGCGGCGCCGGCCGAAAAATCGTTTCGAATGAATGTAAAGCGCTAATTCACACGTAGTAATAAAAATGTCTGGAAACCCGCGGGCGTGTCTTGCTTTCAACGGTGTCTATTACCTTAAAGTCTCACAGACTTATTCATAAAATTATACGATTCTCATGTCCGTGAAAGAGGCATTTTGCTTAATGAATAATTACATTAACCAAATGTTATTACTTTGTTCCGTGCCTCTGCTTCAACTATTTAATAAGACAATTATGAGTGAGGGGAAGAGAGGCACTAGAGAGAGTTAAGAGCAAAATGTATATTTATATTGAATTTGTGAATGAAAGCTTTCGGAATTTTGTTTTCGCGTGAACAACTGATTTGAAAGAAATATATAACGGGCAATTTGTCATTATATTTAAAATTATGAAACAGAAAATATGAGTTGTAGACTGTATTCGTTATATAAAAAATTTGAAATATTTGTTGACAGGCTGTTTCGGATTAATAGTAGCGATAAAATTAATTAAAATTAAAATTAATAAATTGAAATATATCAAATATATTTACCTCAATGTTTTCTTATCAATCGTAAAATATAATAAGCAGTTATAACATAGTATTCTTTTTTAAGCCTTATACGTTTGCTAATGCATGTGTAAACTGAAGTAATTATTTATATGTGAAGATATTTTTTTACAAAGTAAAAATAAACATTTTTCAGTGATAAATGTACTGAAAAATACATTTTATATGTTTTCATCTATTATAATATTGTTTTAATCTAAATGAAATAACATTCCAGTTCTTGAAAAATATCCGTACTTTAAATATAAGAGCTGACGACGTGAGTCTGTGTTATTCATAAAATATGCATTATTATTTGCCTCAGTCAATATTAAAATACATTCCTCTGCCCGCAGGAAAATTAATTTTAATTATATGGTTCGTCGGAAAAGATAATGATATTCTCTTCAACGGAGTCAGCTGTTGCTGATTAGAGGGACATTAAAGCAACTGACTGACTGTTTTTCCTTCTGTGAAATCAGACTTGGCCTAATGGATGTAGCAGTGACCCGCGGGAATATTTTTCTAAAGTTGATTAAAACGAACAATATAGTCACCGGTTCTCAATGGCGAATCATCGTCAGAGTCTGTACGAGTCCCGACGTAACTCGCGCGTGTTCTAATTCCATTATTCTACCTCTATGC